TCAGGGGCTATGGAGACCTCACGCTGGCCAGGGCCGTCTGACTCAGGACTCTGTAACCTGCCCTCCAGCCCCATCCTGTGCCTCTCCCCACCCCAACCCCTCCCTGCCTTGGTCCCACAGGGCCCTCTGACCACCTGGTCTCCCTCACGTGGAAGGAACAGTCCCCTTGGCCTTTGTGAATCCCACAGACACGCCCTCCCTCATAGGTGAACTCTGGACCACACGGCCTTGGGTCCCGCCCTCCCTTTCATCTTGCATAGCGGTGCCCATGTCCAGCACTGGACAGCCCCGGCTGAAAGGACCTGAGGATGGGCACCCCTGGGCAAGGTGCAGAGAGCTTTCTCGGAGGCCTGAGAGTGCCAATGGAACCTGGTGCCCCCACTGTGCTGATGGCAAAACTGAGTCCGGGGCACAAGGGGCTATGCCAGGACCCCCCTCCCCGCCCTGCAAAGGTGGGTCTCCAGCTCTGAGCCAGGAGCCCAGTCTCTTGCCAAGGGCTGGCCCCAGCCATGATGGGATGGCGCTGGCGGGAAGGGAGCTCAGAGGAGAGGCAAGAGGGGGTCTACCTGGAGGAGGAGGGGTGGTCACCGGGCCTGAGGGCCTGGCAGGATTTGGTCTGGGGGAGGGAGCAAAGAGGCCCCAGGTGGGGTGGGGGCGGGCGCCCTCCGAGTGGGCAGGGGGACGTGGCCTGCTCCGCCCACCCGCCAGCGACTCTCTCCTGCAGGTCTGACTTCTAAAGGCCCAATTATCCCTAAGTGCATCCCATTGATCGACCGGTGGGGCTGCGGCTCTGGGTTCGGCTCTCGCCCTCGTCAATACGCTCCGCCCGCCTTCTCGCCCCCTGCTCGGCGCTCCATCCGATGGCCTCGTTAGGGCTAATTGCTCTGACATTTCAGCTCTGACAGGCTGGTGTGTCAGGGCATCTTGGAGGAAGGTGGGCGACTCTTTCTCTGTCTCTCCCCAAACACCGGGCCTGCAGACAGCCCTGAAGCCCCAGCTGGGTGAGGCTGTAGTTGGGGCCCCGGCAGGCCCTGTGCCCCTGATCCAGCAGTCCTGTGTTCCCTGCAGGGCCCTACGTAGCCACCCCAGGCAGGAGGGGTGGGATGCAGGCCTCACTGTCCCCAGCAGACCGTGGGGACCACAGGGCCCAGGGATGGCCCAGGGCCACATGATATCCTGAGTGCCCCCTGAGTCCTCTCAGGTATGTCTGTCCTCATCCCTGCAGGCTTGTCTCCCTGGGAGCAGGGACACTAGTCCTGGGTTCCAGGCTCTGGAGGAGGCTTCTCAGGAGATGGGGTGCCCTGGGCCCAGGGGCTGTGCAGCTCATCTCTGGGCCCCTCCCGTGGGCCTGGGTTTTGGGGTGGGAGGAAGGGCAGGGGCCCCCGGGGCCTCAGAACGGGGTCTGTGACTAGTTGAATGCCCTTGCCCTGCCCCTAGACCTCGCCACGTGCCGCCCCGATGCCAGGGAGCAGGCACGCTGTAATTATGGGCTATTAAGTCCTCTGGGGGCCTCCGAGGGAGATTGTAGAGCAAGAAAAGGCTCCGGCTCAGCGCCTCCTAATTGCGGGCAGGCGGCTGTAATTACTCAGTGTGACTGTGAGAGGAGGGGGCCGCGCAGGGGACTGCTGCGGCAGAGAGGGCCAGAGGGCACCGTGCAGGGAGGCGGGGCTGGCCAAGGCCGGTCACTGCCCAGAGCAGGTGAGGGGACAGCGGGGGCTGTCGGAGCCCTGGCCACGTGCCCTGGCCCTCACCATCTTGCCTCTGTGCCTGGCCCTCCTCTCAGTACCCCCCCCAAAGCCCACCCGCCTTGTGCTTGGCTCAGACTGTCTCCCCCCAGTGGATTGATTCCGTGGCCTCACGGCTCTGGGCAGCAGGGACCCCACGCCCTCTCTTGGGGCCTGACCTTCCTCCAGAGAGCCCCTTCCAGCCCCACCCTCCCTCTTTGGGTCTCTGCCTGCCCATTAGATTTCTCCCGTTTCGGCCTGGGGCCTTGGGCCACCCCCAGCCCCTGGGGACGGACGCCCCAGGGTCCTTGAAGGAGCAATGTCTCATGAGTTGGGAAAGCCGGGCTCAAGACTGGCTGCAGGAGCAGAGAAATCACTCCCCATGGGGCCTCAGTCTTCCCATCTGCAGAACGGGTCCATAAATGCCCCAGCTGTCTGAAGGCAGATACTGCAGACCACCCTCTGAGGGCTCGACCTGGGGGCCCAGGAAGGAAGGGGGCCTTGGCGGGAAGGAGGAGATGGGGCTGGCGAACCAGGAAAGAGGACGCTGGCTGGGGTGGCCTTGGGGGTCCTCCTTGGGTCCCCACCTGGGGTGGAGGAGGGGTGCAGCACAGAGTGGGGGGCATGGCTCGAGGAGCAGAGAGCACTTCTGTACTCACAGGGGGTCCCAGACCCTGGGCCCAGAGTGGTCAGCCAGCCCGAGAGGGGCAGAGGTGTGGGAAAGGCTTCCCAGGATGGACACATGGACGGATGGACACCTGGTCAGGTGTGAAGGTGGAGGCCAGAGGGGGCAGCGCCCACCTCCAAAGGGTGTCCACTGGCTTCCCGCCCTCAGCACTGGCCTGGGTTCCAGCTTGGGGGTCGCCGGGTCCCAGGCAAGAAGCGAGAAAGCTTAGCTCCCCCACGGCGTCCGCGCTGGCACGCGCCGGCTCAGGTAGGGAGGGAATTAAAGAACAATATTTGTACCAGTGGAGACATTTCCGAAAGGTTAAATCCACACCCGGGGAGGCCCGCGCTCTCCCGCGTGGTATTCAGCAGCTGTGCTACCTCCCTGCCCCGCGCCCCCTCAGAGCAAGTTGGGGCCTGGAGGCACGTCACTAAGGGGTCCCCAGCAGCCCACCCTGGCAGAGGCGAAGGAAAGCCCTGGGGTCCTCCAGGGCAGTGGGGAGCCTGTCCCGAGCTTCAGCAGGCCTGGGTGCCAGGCGTGGAGGCTGGGCCACCCTCGGGCACCTCGGAAGCTCAGGTGGGTGGGTGCAGCCTGGGCAGTGGGAGCCCACTGGGGTAGAGCCAGCCCCTGCCCACACCGCTGGTCTTTGACAAGTCCTTTCAGTGCCATTTGGGGCCACATCCCTGTGGAAGTCCTCCTTTGGGCCAGGCCTGGAGCGGAGACCACTGAGACATGTTCTCTGGGAGCCCAGCGTCTAGGAGATGAGGGCCTCGCACAGGGTATCAGGGCACAGCAGTGGGCCAAGTCGGTGGGTTTTCTGCCCTCAGGGAGTTTGCAGAGGAGGAGGAATAAGCCAGGAGGAGAGCAGAGGAAGGAGGTTAATATCAGGAGAAAGAAAGCATAGACACCACAGAATGAATGCTGGCTGAACTGGGTTTTGTGGGATACATAGGAGCTCACCAAGAGAAGAAGGGGGTGAGGAATGGTATTTCAAACTGGGTATCATGGAGCCCCAAACCCTCCTAGAGCAGGAAGTGGGGATGGTCGGGAGGGAGAAGGGTTGGAGGGAGGGAGGTGCTCTGCTTTGCATTGACTGAGCACTCAGTCTTCTTCTGGAGGCAATGGGGAGCCATAGAGGGTAGTGGAGTGAGGGAATGACATGGTCAGACCACTTTCGGGGAAAGTCAGGAGGAGAGGGGTGTGGCAGCCACTGAGATGAAGAGTGGGCGCTTCCTAGGGGGTCTGAGACGTGCCAGGGGCGGACCTGGGGAGGTGGGGAAGGGGCAGTCCAGGGCTTCTGGCTCCTGCTGTGTCCAGTATGTCACTCTGGGTTGCCGGATACCAGAAAGCTGGCCTCCAGTGGCTGCTACAGCAGGCACACTTCCCTCTGGAAGGACTTGGCCTGGCCGCGGGCCTCCCTCCTTCCACACCACCATCCCCTGGGTGGGCTCTGGCCTAGGCCGTCCCAGCTGCCCCCACAGTGCCCAGGGGCACAAGGAGGTGCCCCTTCCAAGAGCATCCTTTTTTGAGAAAGGAAACCTTTCTCCAAAGGGCCCGGGAGCTGCCAGTGGTCTCACCGCAGAGCATCCGCACACCTTTGCCCAAACCGTCCCTGGTGAGGCAGTGGGTTAGACATGGGGGGCTCACGCCTGCTGGCCAGCCAGGAAGAGTCCCCTCCCATCCCCTGGCCTCCTGGGGGGGGGCCGGCACCAGAGTGAACATCCTGTTCTCAGCTCACCCGGGAGCCCGACGTCCCAGGGGCCAACTGAAGCAGGGCGTGGGGGCCAACGGCAGCTTTGTGAGGGGGGGGCGCTCAGGGAGAAGGATGAGTGGCCAGAGGACCATCCGGGGACTGGGGACTAGTGGTGGGCCACAAGGGGGTGGGAGGGAGCACCCACATTGTGGGCTGCGGTCCAAGGAAGCCAGCCACGTGGAAATGAGTGAGACAATTGTTAGGGGCTTCCCTCTCCTTGGCATCCTGGTCTCCTCCACATTGGACAGGTGGGCCCTTCTAGAACATTCCAGGTCCCGCTGGACGTGCCTAGGGATCTGAGCACAGAGGGCTGGGGCAGGGGGCAGATAGGAGTCCTGCTGAAGGCATCTGATGGAAACAGGCCGTGGGACCCTGTTGGGATATTTGGTGAAGTGAAGAACCTTCTGGAAAAGCAAACTGCCTCCTGACCTCTGAGGTCTGAGTCTGATTTCTCCTCTTGGGAGATTCCAGGCCATCTGCCACCAGGGCCCTGGGTTTTGTGTAACGTACACCCATGGGGTACCTGGAATAGCACTTCCCTGCGTACCCGCCAGTCACCCCTCTTGGGGTGTGGGGCCGTGGGGACCGTCCCCAGCCCCGCAGAACACGCCCGCCAGAGCTGAGATGATTCAGAGCGAGGGCCGGCAGACCCTGCCAGGTGCCTGCGACAGTGGATGCAATTAGATTTAATGGGACAGAGCCTTTCTCCTGCGCTGCCTCCTCCTCGCCCACCCCTCCCTCGGGCGGCAGCAGGCGGGAGAGGGATGCGCGCGAGGTGGGGGGTGTGGGACCCGGAGGGGCTTTGACGTCAGCTCGGTCTATAAGAGGCCGCCCGGCAGAGGGCTGTGGAGAGGAGCCCCGGACCTCGCCGGCACCATGCCCACTCCCAACGCTGCCACGCCGCAGGCCAAGGGCTTCCGCAGGGCCGTCTCCGAGCTGGATGCCAAGCAGGCCGAGGCCATCATGGTAAGAGGGCAGGCTGCTGCCCATGGGCAGAATGGGCCAGAAGCCCAGGGGTGTCCTTTGAAGGCTGGTGGGCGGCCGTAGGTTTAGGGTCCACATGGACGCCTCAGACCCGGGCTTGCCGTGGAGTCCTGGCCGTAAGCGCCTCATCTGCCCGAGCAGCCCCGTGCCTGGGTGTTTGCATCTCTGTGAGTGGGTCCTGCTGGCCGCAGCGTGTCTGTGACAGTGTCCTAGAACCTGGCAGCAGCTCATGGTGTGGGGGGGGGCTGGCAAACGGGAGTGCAGTTCCCAGTCCTGCTGGAGGATGCCCAGCCTGAGCTGGAGGGCGATCTGGGCTCTGGGGCGATTCCCATCCAACATCAGTCCCTCCCTCTGTCCGTTCATCGTCCACCCATCCACCCGCGATGCATTCCGTGTCCCACGTGTGGTCTCCCACCTAGAATCCCACCTCCCCTGCCCAGCAACCTTGGGCCTCCCTGGCTAGCCGGGACGGTCCCCACGGTGTCACCCACCACCCGGGAGCCCCTGAGTTCAAGAGGGGCTATGCTGGGCAGACCCAATGGGCCGGCCGCATCCATGAGACTGGATAATTGGGGGCTTCTTGGCCTGGAAGAGGTGTCTTCAGTTCATCTCCAGCGATGCCCCAGAGTAGTCAGCTCCCCGCATATTTAAAATGGGCTTTTGTTTTTAGACCATTAATGAAAACGTGGGTTGAGTTCTAGAAATTTAATGTGCAGGCACCTTCTCAGGGGACCCCCTCTGCCGAGTTCCCAGTGAGGCGCCCTCCCCGCCATGGAGGCCCAGGGCCCACCCAGCCCCACAGGTTCTCCCGGCCTGGGACTTCGGCCCTGGCTCTGTCCACACCCCCTGAGGTAGAGTGGGGGCTCCTGGAGGGGAGCCTGATTCCCCCCATGCACATCCCCCCATGTTCCAAGACCAGAGGGCACCAGAACCTTCCAGGAAGTTCAGCTGCAAGGGATGATCCCTCGAGATATGGCTCCTCCTCCACCCAGGCCTGGGGGGGCTCTAGGCCTGGGGGCGTCAGACACATTGACCTCCAGGGCTCACGGTCTTGGGGACAGGCTGTGGATAGGGCACCTGTGTCCAGATGGAGGGAGAGGTGTGGCCACATGTCCCTAGGCTGTGGGGAAGGGCCCCGAGGCCATGAGGAGAGGTCATTCAGCGGGGTTGGGGTGGGGGTCACCAGGACCAGGTTGGGGCTCCCTCACAAGGAGCACCAGACACCATGTTCCCTGGCCCACCCTGGGGCTCTGGCCACTGTCCATCTTGGGGGCCTTGGGGCAGCAGGTATTGCTCCTGAGTCACTCCTTCCTGTCACCTAATCTAGTTAGGGCCTGGCCTGGGGACAGAGGTGACGCACCATCTTGGTGCTGTGGGCACACCCTCCCACACACACCAGCTCCCCACCCCCGCCCCCATGCTGCGGCTTCTGGCCACCTTCCCAGCCGATGTGCAATGCCGGGAGACATAGTCTTAGGTCCTGCCTGAGCAGGACCAGGTGAGGCCTGGCCAGCTGGGCCCTGCAGAGTACACAGTAGGCGCTTCCTAATGCCAGCTGGGCTGGCGGCTCAGAGCCTGAGACTGTGGGGCAGGCAGGCCTGAGGGCAGCTGGGAGCTGGCGTGCCCTGTTCCCACAGACCCCGCGCTTCATCGGGCGCCGGCAGAGCCTCATCGAGGATGCACGCAAGGAGCGGGAGAAGGCGGAGGCCGCGGCGGCCGCGGCGGAGCCCGGGGAGCTGGAGGCGGTGGCGTTCGAGGAGAGGGACGGCAAGGCCGTACTGAACCTGCTCTTCACCCTGCGGGGCACCAAGCCCTCCTCGCTGTCCCGTGCCGTGAAGGCTTTTGAGGTAAGGGGTAGGCGGGAGCACGCACACGCGTGTGCACCTGTGGGCTGGCATGGACACGGCTGTTTCAGGGGGCGAGTTCTCTCTATGGGACTCACGCAGAAGCGTGGCTGCCCAGGCCACTGAGGGACATGAGGGAGAGGGTTCCAGGAGCCCTGGGCCTGGGTCTTGCAACCCCGGGAGCTGTGGGGTCCCCACGACCACTCACCACACCCATCATGTTCTCAGGAACTCCCTGAGCCCGGGAACCTGGGGCTGAAGCCACCAAGCCCTGCCACTCCTGCCCCACTCCCCATGCCCACCACCTCACACATGGGGGTGAGTGGGTGTGGCTCCCAGCAGGGCAGCTTGAGAAGTAGGGATCCCCCATGCCCAACCACCCCTAATGGGGCTCCAGCTAATGTGACAGCTGATGGCACTAGCTGCTCTGGTCACACCCGTCCAGCAGGCAGGAGACTGGCCCCCACTCAGGCGCCCAAATGACATTACAACTGGACTCCTGTCAAGCTCCTGTGATGGCTGTGTGGCCCGAGGGCCCATAGAGACCCATGCACCCTGGTTGCTGGGCGACGGGAGCTGGCGGTGGAGCTGACCTTCCTGCCAGTCCCTGGGGCGCTCGGTGTTGCTCTGCGGGGGTCTGAGCCTCCTGACCGCCAGAGTGGGATCCAGGGTCCACCCCCAGCCCTGGGTGTGGCTGATGGGTCCAGATGAGGCCACTAGGGATGGGGGGACCTTCTGACCAGCGGTAGGGGAGTCAGGCTGTCTGGGTGTGGCTGAGCGACAGACACACAGCACCATCCAGAAAGCCAGTCGAGGGGACCACTGTGACAACTCCTGTTAGACAAACTAGACAAAACTCATTTCCCACCGCAAACCCTGCCCAGGTGGCGGGGGCTGACCAGTGTCTGGAAACCCGTCTTGTCTGTTGCTGGCTGCAGAAGTCCAGGGCCGGGCAGGGCTGGGCAGGGTGAGCTGACCCAGGGTGTTTCTTTCTTCCCATCACCCTTGTATTCTCCCCTCTCCATCTCTCTGTCCATCTCTGTCCCTCTCCATCTCTCTCTCTCTCCATCTCTCTCCCTCTCTATCTCCATCTCTCTCTCCATCTCTCTCTCTCTCTCTCCATCTCTCTCTCTCTCCACCTCTCTCTCTCTCTCCATCTCTCCCACCCTCTCATTCCCTGCTTTTGCTCCCTAAGACATTTGAAGCCCAAATCCACCACCTGGAGACCCGGCCTGCCCAGAGGCCACGGGCAGGGGGGCCCCACCTGGAGTACTTTGTGCGCTGTGAGGTGCCCACCGCCGACCTGCCCGCCCTGCTCAGCTCCGTGCGCCGGGTGGCGGAGGATGTGCGTGGCGCAGGGGAGAACAAGGGTGAGGCCAGTTCCTCTGTCCTTGAATGCTGCCACATGACCTTGAGACGTTGGGGAACCCTGAAGTGACTGTGTGTGCAGCCTAGGGGGCTTCCTCCCTGCTGGCTCCAGCCCTCCTCCCGGGCACCTCCAGGACCATGCCCCCTGGCTGTCACAGCCCCCGGCCACCTCCCCCGGGCTGTCACAGCCCCCAGCTACCTCCCCCCAGGCTGTCACAGCCCCCGGCCACCTCCCCCCTCGCTGTCCGGTGCCGGGGCTGCTTCATGTAGGTCACACTCCCCACACGGGCCTGACACTCACTCGGCTCCCTTTCCTTCTGTCCTCTGAGAAGTCCTCTGGTTCCCAAGGAAAGTTTCCGAGCTGGACAAGTGTCACCACCTGGTCACCAAGTTTGATCCTGACCTGGACTTGGATCATCCGGTGAGCCAGTGCCCACCGAGGTCCCCTGGCCCCGACTGTGCCCACCCAGACTCCTGGCCAGGACGGTGGGTGTGGACCCCGGGCTGACCCTGGACGGGGTGTAGGTCTGCTGCCCGGCTCCCGGCACAGCAGCTGAGGCCTGGCTGGGTGCGGCATCTGGGCTGGCAGGGCGGGAGGGGCAGTGGGACAGCCTCCTGACCAGCGCGTCCACTCTGCCGTCAGGGCTTCTCAGACCAGGTGTACCGCCAGCGCAGGAAGTTGATTGCCGACATAGCCTTCCAGTACAAGCAGTAAGGACCCCCGGGCCCTCGGCCTCCAGACCCAGACCCCATCCTGCAGCCTCACACTAGACCTGGGGGACAAAGGGGAGGGACGTCTTTGTCACCAATACCATCACCTTCACTGTCACTGTGGCCACCGACTCGGGGTCCCCGAGTCACAGCTGACCACACCGAGGCACAGGGCGGAGCGGTTAATCTTGCGGAGACCACACAGCTGGCCGGGCAGTCAGCCCCGAGCCCCTCCTGCCCGAGGGGCCCTGACTGGCTGCTGACCCCCTCTGCAGCGGTGACCCGATTCCCCGCGTGGAGTACACGGTCGAGGAGATCGCCACCTGGTGAGACCCCGGTGACAGCAGCTGGGGAGGGGTGGGGGGTGGGACGAGGAGGGCCCGAGGAAGACCCCCAGAATCCCCGTGTGCGAGGGTGGTGGCCTCCAGCAGGACAGACTGAGGCTGGGTGGAGGAGGGACTTCCCGAGGCCCCGAATGTCGGCCTGGAAGGAGAGGTGGCCAATGGGTCTGGCCCCCCACGGCTCCCTGTCCCCTGGAATCCCCCAAAGCCACTGGCGAAGGCCCCTCCCAGTGGCCAGGGTCTTCAGGGCCCGCGGAGCCTGCAGGGGGCAGAGCAGAGTGCCCCCGCGGAGGGGCTGCTGCGTGCGGGGAGCAGTCTGGAGCAGGCTGAGGGGATCCGGGCACAGACGCCCGGGGACGAGGAACACCGCAGCCGGGCCTGAGACCCTCGCCCACAGGAAGGAGATCTATACCACCCTCAAGGGCCTCTACGCCACCCACGCCTGCCGCGAGCACCTGGAGGCTTTCGAGCTGCTGGAGCGCTTCAGCGGCTACCGGGAGGACAACATCCCCCAGCTGGAGGACGTGTCCCGCTTCCTGAAGGGTGCGCCGGCGGCCGGGAGGGGCCTGGGCAGGGAGGGCTTGGGGTGCCCCCCCCCCCCGGGCGCCCTGACCACCCGCGGCCCTTGCAGAGCGCTCTGGCTTCCAGCTGCGGCCCGTGGCCGGCCTGCTGTCCGCCCGGGACTTCCTGGCCAGCCTGGCCTTCCGCGTGTTCCAGTGCACCCAGTACATCCGCCACGCCTCCTCGCCCATGCACTCCCCCGAGCCGTGAGTGTGCCCCGCGTGTGTCGCCCAGCCCCACGATGCACAGCCAGCAGGACGCCACATACAGGCCCAGGTCACCGGGGCCAGGCCCTGCTGTCCCTTCACAGAGAACAGAGAGAGGGTGGCAAGGGCAGGCTGCCGGCCCCCCCAGACCCCAGCCTGCCCCCTCTCTCCCCACCCCCAACCCAGGGACTGCTGCCACGAGCTGCTGGGGCACGTTCCCATGCTGGCCGACCGGACCTTCGCCCAGTTCTCCCAGGTGCGTCCTCTGGGCCTCAGGCCAGGACTGGGGCTGGGCTGAGGGTCTGTGGCCCAGGGCTGGGGGCTGGGGTGGGGTCCGACATGCCAGCGAGGGATGCTATCCCCTGAACTGCCCTCTCCCCGGCACCATGCCTGAGCCCCTCCAAGGGGGGTCACCACGTCCCCACCTCTGGCTGGACAGTGCCCCTTGGGTCCATGAGACTTCAGGGAGACTGCCTCATCCTGGAAGAGAGGGTGGGTGTGCTCTGACCCATTTGAGGAAGACGCCTTGTAGAAATGACGAGGAAGAATCCTTTTCCAAGAGTCAGCTCAGGTCTCTGTGCAGAGTGGACAAGCTGGGGGCAGATTCCCACGGCCTCTGCTGCCACCTGCTGGCTCCCCCAGGAACAGAGGAGAGCGGTCCTGGGCCCTTGAGTGATCCCGAGAGGTCCCTGCACCCCTGGCAGTGCCCAGGAGACCCCTGGAGAGGCTGCTGACACCCCCAGTGCCCCCACCTCATGCAGGTGCCCAAGCAGTGGTAGGCTGGGCCTCTACCCCACCCCCAGCCTCCTCCTCGCTCCACAGGACATCGGCCTTGCGTCCCTGGGGGCATCGGATGAGGAAATTGAGAAGCTGTCCACGGTGGGTTCCTTCCCCTGCAGGGCCCTGGGTGGGGGCTCAGGACCCCTGGGTTCAGGCCGGGCCCTCCGGTCCTGGTTGTGGTCTCTGCTTCTGTCCGGGAGTGTGGTCCTCACGCTGTGACCACCCCTGGAGCCTGGCTGGGCTCTACCTGGGTGGGTAGCGCCCTGGGGCCACGGCCGTTGGGGGCAGCCCCTGTCTCTGGACGACCTGCTGGCTGTCCCGCCAGCTGTACTGGTTCACGGTGGAGTTTGGGCTGTGCAAGCAGAACGGAGAGGTGAAGGCCTACGGTGCGGGGCTGCTGTCCTCCTACGGGGAGCTCCTGGTGAGACCCTCCCCCTGCTGCAGCCCCCAGCAGGGGGCCGGAGCCGGGGTCCCAGCGGGGAGGGCCACCTCGGCCATGCCTCCTGGATTCGGGCCTCCCGGGAGGCTGGAGCAAGGGGCTGCCCCACTAGAGGGGCCGAGAAAGCTTGTCCAACCCACACAGTCCCCGGGCCTCGGGAGGACCACCGGGAGAGCAGGGTGTGAGTCCACACCCAGAGCCCACCACAGAGTCAGGCCACAGCCATCCAGTTCCCTTGGGGCCTCGGGGTGCTGCGGGGGGCCTGTGACCTATGACCTCCCGCCAGCACTCCCTGTCCGAGGAGCCTGAGATCCGGGCCTTCGACCCCGAGGCTGCAGCTGTGCAGCCCTACCAGGACCAGACTTACCAGCCTGTCTACTTCGTGTCGGAGAGTTTCAGCGACGCCAAGGAGAAGCTTAGGTGGGCCGGGGTCCCAGGGCCGAGACCACCCAACGTGCCCCAGACGGGGCTAGCCAGCCCGCGGGGCCAGGCCCATGGACCCGCTTCACAGACGGGAGGACTGTGAACACTTGGTTACAAAGCCCCTCCCACAGCAGGACCCCCAGAATGTCTGGGGAGGGGGACACCTGCGGGGCTGGTGGCCAGGTCAAGGCCAGGCTTCTGGGAGGCAGAGCTCGACCTTCGTAAGAAGGGCGTGTGGCATCCTTGCCAGCCTCCGGCCCTCTGAGCAGCTGGGGCCATCGGGGGCATGGAGAAGAGGGGGCCTAGAGGGAGCGGGGAGGTCCCAGGGCCAGGGGCTGGGGATGCAGCGACCAGTAGCCTCCGGGGTTGGGGGGCAGAGCCCCACCTGCTCATCCTCAGAAAGGGCCTTATTTTCCAGCCGGGATCCTGTTGTCACAGGAGAAACTGAGGCCCAGGGGCTGTGTGCCCAGAGTAGAGGGGAGGGGAGGGTTGGATCCCACACACCAGCTTAAGAACAGGGATGTAACTGGGGCTCTGCAGGGCACACAGTCCGGGGAAGGCTTCCTGGAGGAGGAGGCCTGAGCTGGGCCTTGGGGAGGAGCAGGGAGGGATGGGCCTGCAGGCAGAGGCCTGTTTGGGCAAAGCCTGTCCCTCCCCTGCCCTGCCCTTGGAGGAGGCCTCAGTGACCCGTCTTGTCCGGGTGTTTGGACAGAAGGAGCTTTCGGGGCCCAGGTGGCTCAGAAAAGCCCTGGGAGCTCTGAGCTGGCTGTGATGGAGGAGACCCGGCCCCCAGCTCTCCAGCTCTCCTGGAGGCCGCCGACCCTGCCCCAAGCTGTCCCAGCTCCCCCTGGTCTCCCCAGTGCCCCCCGAGTCCCCACTGGTGACTGAGGGTCCATGCCGGCTCCCTTCCCCAGGAGCTACGCCTCCCGTATCCAACGCCCCTTCTCCGTGAAGTTTGACCCGTACACGCTGGCCATTGACGTGCTGGACAGTCCCCATGCGGTCCGGCGCTCCCTGGAGGGCATCCAGGATGAGTTGCATGCCCTCACCCATGCGCTCAACGCCATCGGCTAGTGCAGCAGGCGCCACCCTGCGGGCCGGCCCTGGGGTCTCCCAGCCCTTCCCCGGCTCCCCCAGCCCCTGCGCATGTGAGGGGCTGGGTCACAGGGCACCCCAGAGACCGTCAGAGGCCCTCCCTGTCGGAGGGCACCCCGCCGACCCCACCCTGCCGCTTCTCAGCTCCGCCTGCAGCTGTCCTCGTCCGGCTGTGCCGCCCGCCGCCCGCCTGTGACGCTGTGCTGCCCGTGCCTGTCTCAATAAAAGAAAGTCCCTCTGCACACCCGCCTGGAGTCCGTGTCTGTGTGCCGGGCTCGGGGGCCACAGAGGCACGTCCCCGGACCCCCCCACCGCCCCCAGTCTTGCTCAGAGGTTTCTGCTCTGCCTGCCTGCTCCTCCGAGACCCCACCAGGCAGCCCAGGCCAGACAGGAGGCCCCTCCAGGCCCGGAGGCCCTGCTCACCCCAGAGGACCAGCCTGCGCTGAGCCCCCAGCAGTTCTGGAGGCCTGAGGGGGTCCTGGCGGAGCTGCCCCATCTCTGTGGGGGAGTGGCAGGGAGGTGGGGGCCTGGCTGATGGGAGCCCCTCCTGGGGCTGGGTGATGGGGGTAGGGCTTGCAGCTGTGCCGACTGGGGGGGTGGTCTCCGAGGCAGGGCTGCAGGCCAGGCCCTCCCTGAGCCTGGCATACCCAATGGGAGGAGGACAGGGCTCCAGGGGGCCAGCCCTTAAGAGCAGGTGGGGGGACAGAGGACACAAAGCACAGCTGCTTCCGATCCCTGCACCCTACCCCACCCAGAGCAGGACCTGGGAGTCCCCAAAATGTGTGCTGATGGAGAGTTCCGCTGAGCTGGTTCCCAGGCAGCCTCTCTGGGCCTCAGTCTCCCCAGCAAGGCAATGTGGGGCTGGATTCTGGGCTCTGTGAAGTGCCTTTCACTCATTGAAGGGGTCTGGACATGGCCCTCCAGCTAGAGCCCCCACCATCCTCTGGGGCTGGCCCAGGCCAGGGTGCCCCCGTTTCTCACCCTGCCCCTGGCCTTTGGAGAGAGCAGCCTGGGGCTTCCCATGAGGTGCCTGGGTCCTTACTTCCTGCAGGGTGAGGTGAGACATGAGCCCGTCCTCCAGGCCCTGCTCACTCCCTGCAGCCACCCCCACCACACAGCCAGGGCCCAGCTGTAAGCTCGTAGGATGTCAGTCCTGGCAAACTCCTATTCATCCGTCAAGACCCTCCCAGGCAAAGCCTTCTTCCCCAGCCCTTCCTCCCTGGCAGTCTGTCCTTCCATCCTCTGTGCCTTAAGCAGTTTGGCTGTGCCCAGCCCTCCCGCACCCACGTCCCTTCATCCCATGAGACCCCAACTGGGGCCGTTTTTGACAGCTGTGAGCCCCATTGAGACTCTTGGGAAGGGCTGATGGTTGGCCTCCTCTCGCCCAGTCCTACTGGCCCCTGAGCTCTGCCTTGCCACCTGGCTCCTCCCTCATCCAGCCTCTTGCCCTGCACACCCCTCTCAAGAGGCCCCCAGGTCTCCTTGGCTACAGGAGGGCCATAGAGCACCATGGTGTCCTGGGAAAGCAAGGGCAGCCCCTTCCACAGCTGTGAAGGGTTCACAGACTTTGGTGCCATGAGAGGGTTAGAGGCTGCAGGGGGAGGCAGTGGGGGTCAGGGCCTCCCTTCCGGCGCCTGTCCAGGGGGTCTGGGGGGCACCCCAGGGGCTCAGCCCATATGACAGCCAAGGGGGAAACGGGATGGGGCCTGGCCTGAAAGGGACCAGCCTGGGGGAGATGGGCAGGGGCTCCAAGAAGAGGAGTGGGGGCTGCAAGGGTACCTGGGGGGGACGTGGTGGGGCCATCACACAGAGGGGGGTCTACTGCCCCCACAGTGAAGACGAGAAACAGGGCCAGCCTGGGGGGCCTCATGGTTGCTGCTCCCCAAGTTTGCCCCTCTCCGCAGCACCCCAAGGAGCTGAGCGTCTCGGTGGGGGTGCTGTGCTGGGGTGGGGTGGGGATAGGCCTGAGCAGGGAGCATCCATGGGGTCTCGAGGGCAGACTAGGGACTGTGGATCGGGGGGGCCAGGCTGGAAGAGTCCCCTCCTCTTGCCCCCAGCTCCCCTGGACTAATGTGGAAAATTCGGCTCAGGCAAGGCCCTGGTGCGGCTCTGCTCCCATGCCAATGTTTGCCCCCAGCTGGGAGCAGGACAGCTCGGGCCATCAGGCCCCTCGTTAAGACTCTAATGACCCTGTGGTCCTGAGAGGTGCTGACGACCAAGGAGATGTTCCCGCAGACCCAGCACCGGGGAAATGATCCAGAAATTGCAGCCTCAGCCCCTGGCCATCTGCCACCCCCCTGGAGGCCCTAATGGGCCAGGCGGCCAGGCCGGGGGCTATAAAGCCAACGGGGCCCAGCAGCCCCCAGCCCTCGGGGACCAGCTGCATTCCGAGGCTGTCAGCAAGCAGGTCTGTCCTGGGGGCCTCTGTGTGAGCCTGGGTCTGGGGCTGCCCCCTGGGGGTCTAGGGCGTCCGGGCCCCAGGCCCAAGCTCTGCGAGCGGTGGGATGTAGGCTCCTCTCTTGGAGCATCCGGCTGGGTGAGGGTCCCGGGCAGGACGCGTGCCCCTTGCTGGCCTCAACTCTGTCCATCCCCAGGTCATCGTCCCCTCGCCATGGCCCTGTGGACGCGCCTCCTGCCCCTGCTTGCTCTGCTGGCCCTCTGGTCGCCTGCCCCCACCCGGGCCTTCGTCAACCAGCACCTGTGTGGCTCGCACCTGGTGGAGGCGCTGTACCTGGTGTGCGGGGAGCGCGGCTTCTTCTATACCCCCAAGGCCCGCCGGGAGGCTGAGGATCCCCAGGGTAAGCCACCAATGTGCCCACCCGGGCTTCTAACTGGCACCCAGGGGGATAGCAGGCAAGAATTTAAAAAGGAAAATGATGTGCCCTTGGTCACATCCTAAACGTGACCAGATCCCTGGTCAGTGTTGGCATAGGGGAGCTGAGCCCAGATGACACCCTGAGGGTGGGCTCGTCCCCTCCCCTGCCTCCCTTCTCACCCCAGCCCCTCCTGCTCAAACAAATGACCTCCCTCCTCTGACAACAGCAGCTTCAGGAGGAATTTTACTAAGTGAATCAAGTCCTGGGCTTTGATTGTCTTGGGGGGACATAGGAATCACGGGGGTGCCCCATCCCCCCGCCCACATGCCCGTGGGAAACACCCTATCGCCCTCAGGGGCGGGAACAGGGCAGCCTGAGGGAGTGGAGGGGGCCCTGTCCTGGGGGCTCTGTGTGGGCTGCAGGGAGTCAGGAGGTGGGGGGCAGGCCCGTGAAGGGCACCGAGGGCACTTGTTCACGTTCCCGCTGTGGCACTGAACTGGGGCATGGGATGGTGGCAGGATGTGGGGGCCATGCCTGGCAGCATGCACCCCGGCATGGGCAGTCCCTCCTCCATCCGACCTCAGCTCAGCAGGAGACTGGGGTGCAGAGGGCACGGCCCCAGGCCCACTGTCCCCTGGGCTGTGCAGGGGCCGAGGGCAGGCAGGGGGCCGCTGTCTCTCCCTGACTCTCTGTCCCTCCGCCTGTCTTTCTCCCCCTTGCTGCTCCCCGCAGTGGGGGAGGTGGAACTGGGCGGGGGCCCCGGCGCGGGCGGCCTGCTGACCCTGGCCCTGGCAGGGCCCCCGCAGAAGCGCGGCATCGTGGAGCAGTGCTGTACCAGCATCTGCTCCCTCTACCAGCTGGAGAACTACTGCAATTAGCCAGCCCTCCAGGCCCATATGTCCGAGCCTTCCGCTCCTACACCCCAGCCACCCAATAAAGCCTTTCGCTGAGCCCTGGTGGTGTCGTCTGTGCCACGTGGGGGTCAGGGTGTCGACTGGGGAGGGCGAGGCAAGGCCAGGCACACACTGCCCCACCTGCCACGGTGGCCATGGGGGCTGCCCTGAGACTCCTCCTCTGCTCTCTCTGCACTGGCCCCTCCGAGCTCCCTCCACGGCCTGTGGGCGGCCTGGGCCCAGGCCCCCTAAGGTGCCCCTGGCCGTGCCCCCTAAGGTGGCGAGCTCCTGTCGGCTGCTGCTCACCCCTGCCCTGGTCACTGGGAGTTCCCCCAGAGCAGGGCTGGGGGGGGTCTCTGGGAGGCGGGGGGCCGGGGTCTGGCTGGGAGCTGACACCCTTAGCTCAGAAGCCCTGAGGTCTCGGGGCCCCCAGAGAGCTTTTCGGGGCAAGAGGATGAGATCCCAGTGACTTCCCACTTCGCCCTGCCCGGCTCTCCTTTCAGGGCCGTTTCTGACGGAGGGCCTATGGAAGGAAGAAGCTGGGCAGGGCACAGAGAAGGGCCTGAGAGGCTGCCCATGCAGGGCCTTTCTCAGTGCCCCTCACTGTCCCCAGCTCTGGGCAGGCCCGGGGCAGCCCTAGCCCGAGGAGCCCACTAGAGCCTGGAGGAACCAGGAGGGACAGGCGGCACCCCATGAGCTGGGGGACGGACTGGGGTTGCTGCAGGCACTGGGCAGGGGACCCAGTGCTCAGGGGCATCCTGGCTGTGTCCACCCTGAGAACTGCAGCCCACGGGGCCAGGGCCAGGGCCGGGTCCCCCAGCCGCCCAGCAGCCCTCTCCTCCCACTATGCAGCCACAATCCTTTAGCCTCAGATCTGGTGGTCACCTCCAGGAATGCCCTTGGGGCGTGAGGACAAGATTGCTGGGGGTCTAGGTCTTCAGAGGTCCTGACACCCCCCCTCTGCAGGGCCCACTGCGGCCCAGGATCAGGTGGACACCCTGCCTAGGCCACTGCCTGGCACGCCTGGAGGCTGCCTGCTTGGGCTGGCCATGACCTGGGAGGTCAGCCAGTGACCTTGGCCACACGAAGGCCTGGCCAGCCTGCCGGCTGCCCAGGCCAAACCAATCTGCACCTTTCCTGAAGGCTCCGCCCGGGCTGGGGCTTGGGATGGCTGGGCCTGGGGCTGGACACCTGGCCTGCTGGCTGCAGACCACTCAGAGGCTGGTTTCAGAGCGGGGCCCGGCCGCCTGGGCTGCCCCCTCCCTGCAGCCCTGAGGCTCCCTCCCGGGTCGCCCCCACCCCATGACCACATCAACACCCCTGGAGGCGATGTCGTGGGCCCCCAGCAAGCCCCGCCCCTGGAGTGGAGTCCAGGGCTGGGCAGGCGGGTGGACAACCGGACACTGGACCCGGAAGAGGAGGGCGAGGAGGTGGCTGGGACCAGCGGCAAATTGTGCATGGGAGCGCCCCGGCGGCCCCGTTTGCGCGGGTAGAGGCAGGGAGGTCCTGCAGGAGCTGAGGTAGGTGAGTG